TAACAAAATTAAAAAATGACAAAGGGAAAGCATCAGAGTTGAAATTGTGAACATAAAATTTGTCTATGGCTATGGAGGAGAGAGGGAGCCCCAAACCTGTTTGCAGAGTCCCCAGTCAGATCAAGCCACTGGCAGATACCCTCTGGCCACAAGGCAAGTGTCTGGAATAGCTTCGCTAGCAGATAGAGAGCATTACAATCTTAATTATGCTAGATCGGACTTGATAATTGGTCAGTTGACCTCCCTCTTGACCACACCTGAATTTGTTCTAGGTTCAAGTATTTCATGCCTGTGTCATGACAAAAGTTTCTTTACTGGCTTTTAAAAATACTGATGGCTGTCTTTTCTTTCTTACTCATTCTTTGCATTTTCATCTTTATATATTATTTTATCCTTACTCCTTAAAAAAAGTTTCTTTTGCAGAGCAGATACCCGACTTTTCAAGTTTTCTTTCATGGATGGTACTATTGAGACTAAGTAATAGATGAGACTATTATCTAAAAATTCTCCTAGAGACCTTTTTGTAACTTTCGCACTAAGGTCTATGGTCCACATTGAATGAAAATGTAGGAAAAGTTTTAGATTCAATTTGTATATGGATATCTCATTATACAAAATTGGACATTTGAATGAAAAATATCTTCCTTCATTGAATTATCTTTCCACCTTTGTCGAAGACCATTTGACCATCTTGCTGTAAATCTATTTCTGGACTATTTTGTACCATTGCTCTATTTATTATCTTTTTTTTTAATCAGAAGTTTGTCCTTTTCCACATATAGATCTGTATTTATTTATATTTTTTATTTGTACCCAAGTATTTCATCATCCTAGGGCTATTGTAAATGGTTGTTGTAATTTCAAGTTCCAATTGTCCATATTAACTTTGTATTTGTGACCTTACTATTAGTTCCAGGAATTTTTTTGCATAAATCATGTCATCTGTGAATAAAGGCAGCTTCATTTTCACAAATAAAGAAAGAAAAAAGACAAAGAAGCAAGAGTATAATTGAAGCTTGGGTTTATAACCAATTTGTGGCTGCTCAATGAACCCCTAAAGACAAGGGTTAATCATGCTCTCTGCGTCCTGTGAGTGATATGTGAGAAGAGTATCAAAAATCTTAGAAATCAATGTGAACCTCAGATCTTCTCTAAAGAACAGGCTTTTCTCTGGCACTAAGATACATGCCTGGAGAAGAGTCCCAGTGGCTAAAATGTTCAGCTGCTCGTGAAAGGCTGCCTGTCTGAATGCACCTTCACTGCTCTGTGGGAGAGAGATGTGACAACATGCTGCCATAAAGATTTCTGGCTTTGGAGGTGGTTTAACTCCACCCTATAGGGTTTTTATGAGCTGGCATTGATTTGACAACACTGGGTTTGGGGGGTGGGGGTAGGGGGTTGTTTTTGGCGTCCATATGTTTTAAGCCTATCTACTGTTCTGTATTTATCTCAGAAAAATATGAAAAATTTTATCAGGGTGCAGCATTCTCACATGAAATTTCTACCATATATGTTTCACCAACAAAAGTACATAGAGATTATCTTAATCCTCCAAATCAGTGGTCAGAAAACTGAGGCGTGCAAGCTATAGTTTGCTCTTTCCGTATGTGCGTGTGTCTCTAGAACAAAATTGAAAAATTGTAAAGGATATTATCAACATAATGGTGATTTCATTTTTTGTAAATATATATAAATGGCTTTCAAATAATTTTTAAATTGTTATGAGGGACAGAATTGATATTTCTCTCTCAAAAGTTTGCCATCTCCTGTTCTAGAATATAGATGGCATTCAAAAGGAGTCACAGCGGAAAAAGATACTATATCCTCTTCATTGTTTCGATATGATTTTAGTATTTTAAAGTATTAATTCATTAATTAAAAGATCCTGAGATCCTATTTATGTAAAAGTCAGTACAGCGAGTCCTAAGGAAAGGAATCCAGAATTGCCATCTAATTTAGTACTGTGGTTCTCCCCTTGCATTGATAGGACAGGTTTGAACTGTTGGGTCAGGATCTGCACTTGTAGGAATTGATACAGGAAGTTTTCACCTTGCACCAATCCCTGTGCTCAGTGCAAACAGGGCTCAATTCTTTGGGAGACCCATCTGTACAAGGAACAACTCATAGGTTGCAGCTTGCAGTTAAACTTACTGGCAGAGACTCCTCATATCAACAGTGTCTTGAGTCTGTGTCATTGGAAAAATTGTTGATGTTATTGGTGCAATTGTGTTTTACCCCAGGGAGACGATTGACTGTTGTGCTTTTTTTCCCTTTGTTTTTTGAATTTTCCTGCCTTTTGTTTATTTGATTTTGTTGTTCTTGATCTTGGAGTATTTTGTTTTTGTCATAATACAGCCAACAAATTAATCAGAGTCCTTCATAACTGAGGGACAAGCAGATGGAATCTGGGCTCCCACTTAACTCTAGCCTGAACCCAAGAGCAGTTCGTTCTGATCAAATGGCCCTGCTCAATACTTGCCCTCATGAAATGATCACTGAAGATAAGGGTGGTACGCAGTATGTGGTGAAGAAAGCAGATGGTGCCTGGCTATCAATTAGAATAGTGTCTGGGGTCGTAAAAATGTCTATTCAAACAAACAGCCATCTAAGTGAGGCATCAACTATGTCCAAGTTGAAGAAGCATTTCAGCCTGTGTGATACAAAGATGACAATAACAAAATCCAAAAATGATGAAGGGAATAGTATCAGAGCTTAGATTATGAACACCCAGTTTGTAGAAGGTGATGGAAGACTGTGGGAGACCCAAACCCATATGGAGAGTATCTAGTCAGATTAGGCTTCTGGCAGAACACCTCTCGTTACAGTCAAGGGACTCAAAGAGCTTTACTGTCAGACAGACAGCATTTAAACTTGATTATGGTGGATCAAAGATACTTATTGGACCTCCCTCTTGACGCAAGCTGAATTTGATCTAGGCTCAAGAATTTCTTGCTTGTTCCATGAAAAAAAAATTCTTGCCTGGCTTTTAAAATATTTATAGTGGATTTTATTTCTTACTCATTAGTTGTATTTTTATATTTATATTATTACTTTCTCATTATCATTTTATTTTGTTTTGTTTTTTTATTTATTTCTGTTGAGTTTCCCAATTTGTGAAGCACAGGAGTAGATGCATAGATATAATAACAGATGCAATGGTTTATTTGGGATGTGGAAGGGGGAGTTGGGAGGTGGGGACAGGAGGGGATTTGAGGAGCAAACAATGAATGTGGGAGGTGGGAACAAGCAGTAGAAATGATTGTGATGATATATATATACAACTCATTTTAAAAGTGATTTAACCATAGAAGTGTATGCTATGTGAGTATTATACAGGAAAGCTACTAGAAAGAAAGGAAGAAAGAAAGAAAGAAAGAAAGAAAGAAAGAAAGAAAGAAAGAAAGAGAGAAAGAAAGAAAGAAAAACTAATCTGGACCAATGGGTACCATGGGTGAAGGGGAAAGGGTTGTTGTTTAGGGGCATTGAGTTATGCCATGCTAGTGGAATAATTTGGGAAAGGATATAAATAATAGTTGAACAACACTAAAATGATAATCAATGGCACTCAAGTATCCAGGTAGAAGTTGTGGAATTGTAGAATATTTGTTGTGTATAGTTTTGCCACAATTGTATCCAGGTAGAAGTTGTGGAATTGTAGAATATTTGTTGTGTATAGTTTTGCCACAATTAGAAATATATAAATACACACACACACACACACACACACACGAATAGCAAGGAGTACAAGGAAGAATTAAATATGGTGAGAATTGTGCAACTCTTCCTTCTATGATTGAATTCTTGAATTGCATGGCCTGTGGATAAAGTGCTAAGAAAACGGCTTAAAAAGCAAAGTTAGCATTGCGAATGCATAAATGTTTTCAATCAAGCTTGCAGGCAGGCACTCACAATCGGGAGAAGGGGGATGGAACATGAGTGATAATAAAACACTGATTTGTTTTGTTACTTTATTGGACTAAGCTTTATCTGTTCTAGATGTGCGTTTTTTTGTTTTTTGTTTTTGTAGGGAGGAAGGTGGGGCGTAGTTGGTTGCAAACTACGTGATTAGAGAAAACTTTAATACAGATAGGCTATTTTCTGTTTATTCTTAGATACTTTAGTTGCACAGAAAAAAGAGATTACAGAAAACCTAGGAAGGAGGAGAGAAATGGAATCCTAGTTAGACAGTCAATAACTCATTGCCCTTGACTTTTAACTAACAGAAACCCTATAGAACAGAGCAGCTTATTAGAATTGTCACAGCAGAAAATCTTAGCAGAAACATATCGCAAACCCTCATCCAGGAAGCTGATGGGTTCAAATCTCTGACTTTCTATTAGCAGCTGAACCAATATGCCATCAGGGCTCCTGAGTTGATTTTTCCTAGTTTTCCAGATTTATTTATTAATTGGTAGCTACTTTCCCCTAAATTTTTTTGCGTTATGATATCCCAAGTTAATATTCAAAATACTAAGAAACCATCATAGCTGTAGATAGTTCACTTCAAATCATACATGATTCACTTCAAAGTTCCTAAGCCTATTACTGATTAAAACAATATAAATGAAATAAGAAAACATGAGGCTTATAAAAAATACCACATAGAGACAATCGTCTATTGAGAAATAAGTAAACAAGCAAATAATATCATTGAGATTAAATAACTGGATCCCAATGCAAACAAACTCTTCCACATATTTGTATGTGATTTAATCCCTTGGGATTGCACTTTTTTTTTTAATCTGAAGAGAGTGTATTTCTGGTCCTCTACTACTCATGGAAAGTACAGTTTTCCCTTCCATAAATTAGGGAAATATCCCGAAACAGCATGACCACTTTCCCCACCTGCAGCAGACATACCCAAGTACTTGCGTCAGCCAACTTCCCAATATGAAGCAAACCCTCCCCTTCCTCCAGCGATTGAGTCATTCTCCTGTTAGATAAGAGTAGCTGCTGAAATACTCCAGCAGAAGCTCACGCCGTGCATTTCAGTCTGGTGAAGTCCTGGGACAGCTTCACTCTCTCCACGTTGGCATGAGTTTGGAAATGAATTGTGACGATCTCAAAGTCAAGACGATGAAGGACCAGCCTGAGCAGAAGCTAAATGCAAGGAAAGCAAGAGGTATGAGGGGTACATGAATGTGTACAGGGGCAGCGTTTCACTTTTATTAAAAAATATAAATGCATTCAAAAATGAGATCAGAATGCTTAAAGACCTTATGATGGAGAAATGTAGTAAAAAAATCACATTTACTTTTTAAAAAGCCAGTAAAGTATAATGATGATGATTTTGATGAATGAACATGTATATAGCAGGTGATCATGATAACAAATTTTTATTGAGAGTTTACTATGGGCTATGTTCTGTGCTAAGGGGCCCTGAGGCACAGTGGCTGCCCCCTTGTTGCTAATAAAGGTCAGGGTTTCCAGTCCCCTCGTTACTCTGTGGAAGAAAGAGTGACAGTCGTCTTGCATGAAGAATACAATCCTAGAAACCCTGTAACAAGCCCACTGCCATTGGGTTAACTCTGATTCGTAGTGAGCCTATCTAACAGAAACCCTAGGGGACAGGGTTCTGTCCTACTGTGGTCACTAGAAGTCACAATCCACTTGATCACAGTGACTTTGATATGTTCAATCCTCCTAGTTTTACATGATTTACCTCTCTGAATCTTCACCTTTTGAGATAAGCACGATTGTTACCTCCTTTATTAACAGAGGCAAAGTGGGGATCAGGAAGATTATTATGTCACCAGTTAATGTGAGAACTAATATTGTATGACACACTTCCATATATCCATCATCTAATCCATCAGAAGATTCAGGAAAACTTGAATCCACCCAATGTATATAATGATAATGTTTACATTTGATCTTAACCAAAAGGCCAAGAAAGTGATATAATGATGATTTGTATAATAGTGTTCTTACGTCATTGAAAATCCTGTAATATCTTTTGAATTCTTAAAAGTGGATTAAATATTATTCACTATGGTTTAGCAAAATTTTTATTTTATTGTTTACCAATTCTTTGAAAAAATATGATATCTGCTTGGTAGATACAGTTCTTGAACTGTTAAATGAATTAATGAATAATCCCACCTTCACAAACAATACGGACACATTGCCTACTATTCCCTATCCATTCTGAAAAAAGGAATGAAATATAAGAAAGGGATGAGAGGGTTCTGGGTAAAGAAATTCTAAATCATGTCCTTCTAAACTAGACAAACTTTGGTTTTTCCTCAGTAGGAAACAGAAATGCGAACATAGAATGATTTAACATTTGAACTGAGGACTTGATTTTTTCTTTAAAATTACTACCAGGATTTCTAGGGCTACAAGTTAACAATAGTCATTTAGTTGCCATTCATTTATTTATTCACATAGTAAAAAGTAAGTGCTTGACTTTCACCTCAGTTAAGAAATTGATTCTCCTCTCTGAAGAGAGTTAAGTCAGGTATCTACTGAAAAGGATCCAGTAACTTTCTCTCTGTAACCACACGAGGGAGGGAGGGAAGTTCGACTATGAAGGAGAGAGGACAAGAGGTGGCCTGTAGAAAATGGAACACGGGCCTTTCCCGCACAGATGTAGGCCCAACGAGCTTTGCTAAATATCGAGAAATTTCATTCGTCAAATGGGAGGGACCTATTTGATATCCTATAATGTGGAATCGCCATTGACTAGAAGAAAATCATTACTTCAAAGATTTATGCAGGGATATTTGTCCCTGAGGTGAGAATTAGGCCATTATTTAGAAGACTGCTTCTTTTAATTTATAAGTCTTCTCTTTATTTATAAGACTTCTTCTCCACCAACTTGTCATGCTAGAGCATATGCTGCCAAGCTCATTTATTGGGCCTACCACCCCCTTTTTCGGAAAATGAAAAATCTAAAAAATTACTCAGTGCCCCCTTGCACTTAGACGTTTGCACTATAGCCCATAACGCAGGATAAAATGTAGCGATCTGATTTTACAGCCCTCCTGGATCTTTCCGGTGTACCCGACACCCCACCTTGGGGGCGATATATCCCGCTTTGGAAACACTGCTCTGGAGTCTAAATCACTGTTTAGAGGTTCAGTAAATGAATCCTATTCTCCCCTGTAAAACTTTCTATTTGCTTTGTTATCATTTTTAGTATAAAACACGAATGGAGTGCTTCTTTTGATAAACAAATTTATTGATACATTTAGTCAGCATACATCATTGACCTGAACCCTCCCAAGAGAAGGATAATTTTTAAATTATAATAACTGTTAGATCACCCTCTATAAAAGTGATTTTTCTGGGACAGTATACCTCAACTTGGCTGGAAGCAGGGGGTGGACTATAGGGAAGGGAAGGAAACTGCCAAGCACCGACACTATAGCCAGCTCACCTTGGCAGAATCCAGTGCTTTGAACACCTGAGAATTCTGTAGCTGTATTGATTTGTAGAACACATGTGCACGGTGAATTTCGTGATGGGATGTTTCCAGTTATAGAGACACTGGCATTTGGATTAAAGACATTTATGTGGGTCTTAGTCGCTACATCGTCTCACAAGGTGAGGAGGCTGAATTCATAGTGCATACTGTTTTCCTGCAGAATAAGTGAAATGCATGTTCTTGTAGAGGTGGAACACATCATTAACCCATTGCATTAACCCAAGGTGTTTCCAACTCATAGTGAGCCGAGAGGGCAGAATAGAATTGCCTCACAGGGTTTCCAAAATTGTAAACCTTTGTGGATGCCAACTGGCATATATTTCTTCCACGAGCAGCTGGTAGGTTTGATTCTTATAGTTCGTGCCCAATTGCTTCACCACTGTGCCATCTGGGCTTCTAACATGATTGTTGCTGTTGTTGTCAGGTGCCATCTAGTGGGTTCTGCTGCATAGTGACCGTGTGCCCAACAGAATGGAACACTGGTCTGGTGCCATCCTCACCCTTGTTCTGTCTGAGCCCATTGGTGTAGCCACTGTGTCAATTCATCTCATTGAGACTTTCCTTCATCTTTGTTGACCATCCCTGTGACCAAGTATGATGTCCTTCTCCAGGGATAGTTTTGTAACTGTCTGTGACGCGATTTAAGCGATCTTATCACAATAGTGACTTTCTTCTTTGTAACAATAATTGTTAGGAAATGATGTAAAGGGGGCCAAGTGAATATTGGAGTTTTATTGCTATGTTTATTTTTGTCAATAGCTCCAAATTTCAAGCTGTCATTTTGCTAGAATAAATATTAAATAGCATGACATCAGGGACTGAGGCACAATTTGTTGATTACACAACTAGAGTTTATTTGACTGGCATTTGACATTAATTTATGATGCTGTTTATAAACACATTGTATATGTGCATGTGTGGATGCAGGTAAGCAAAGATGCACATGGCATATATTGAAGGCCTCTCTCCCTGTGAATGAGGGTGCACCGGGAGCTGTTGGAGGAAACGTTGCAAGGAGACAAGGCATCAGCTTTATCTGGTATTTCGCATCAAGCATCTTTTTCGAATCTCAGTTCTTAAACGTACTGGCTGCATGTGTGACCAAGGGATGTTTACTTAAAGTCTATAGCTGTGCATAGCTTTTCCCTATCATGTGGACAACCAATTATTAGGAGAACGAGTGGGAGGCCGACAAGGAAGGAAAGGAAGCCACCGAGCACAGACAGGAGGCAAAGAATTGTTTAGCCAATGGCACTCTTGTTCCCAAACTTTCCTGCTTCACTGGTTTTATTTTATGCCCCTGTAGGCCCTCCTTTTCTTTCTTCGCCATGGTGGTGCCTCACAACGGTGACTCTCGGGATCCTTTGCCTGGGATTACTGGTGACTCTCATAATTCAGAAAATGCAATGTAAGTGCTGAAACAGGGAAATGGGAGGAAATATTAACAATGGCTACTAAACACTGCTTACCAATTGGTTGCATCATAATTGAGAAGCCACCTTGACTGAGATGCATTTTAGACAAAAAAAATTTGAGAACATGGGAAGGTGAATTGGCATAGTGTTCTCATTTTTAAAATGAACAGCAGCATGGAGACTGTGAATGGCAGACTGGTGGGAAGAATCTCATCCAAAGCTGCCAGTCCATAAGATCACCTGAAAGACCCCAAAGCAAAGGAAACTCCACTGAGCTCTAAATTCAAAATGTTAAGTTTTCATAGAGAGGTTTCAACCCAGCTTACAAAGTAAGAACCGAAGCAGAACCTTATTCAATAAATGTAAGATTTTAAAACAAAATAACCTCAAGTTTATAATACTATTATTTAAGCAAAAGAGGGTATTGAAAGGTAAAGAAATGGCAAGGAGGCCCAGAATGGCTAGAAGGAGGTGCCCTTCTCTGCCTGTGGATGGAAGTGGTGGCTATGGGTTCTTTTGATGATATGGGGGTCCAAGGATAGTCAAAGGACTTAGAAGGTTCTCCATTGCTGTTCAAGGTTACAAAGCCTTTTGTAAAAATATAAGGAAACACATAGAGTTTTAAACACATGATGATAGCTCTGAGGACTAGAACAGTGTACAAAATGGTCACATCCAGCCTGCAAGCCAAGAATTTGTTTTGCACTGAATCTGCCTGCTTCTAACACTGGGAGATTAGACTCGAAATCTTTGTTGCCCACTTGATTTCACAACTTTCATTCCAACTCCACCCTTCCTAAAATATGCTGTTGCAAAAAATAAAATAAGGTTCTTTTTGACTCTTGTGATACATCCACTTTTAATTCTGTGTGGGTGAGTATCTCCAAAGAGGGGTGTCACAACTCTGAAATAAAAGCAGGAAGTCTGAAATGGTAGACAGAATGAGAGGAGAGATAGTTAAAGGCTACAGAGAATCAACTACTAATGGCCATGCTGACTAATAGTCACCGAATCCAGGTGGCATCTGAGTATTTCATATCACCTGTATTTTATTTATACTTCCTTATATTGTGATTACTTTTAACTTTTGTGAAACCATTAATAAACAATAAAATGCTGATAATTTGTCTAAACCTTGGTAATTTGTTTAACACTGACACTTAAAAAATTGGAGGAATATTAATGGCTTTAAAATCCATAACCTCTGCTTAAATTTAGCCCACTTCCAAGCAACTGATGTGTGGTCAAAGGGTTACATTTGGTTCTTTTCTGATATTTTGTTAAAATCCAGTGGGAGGGTTTCTTGAAGTTTAGGAAGAGTCTTAACTCAACTATGATTTAGTATCCCAGGTATCTGATCTTCTAAAGCAACAGCAAGAAAACATTACTCACCAGGAAAATATACTGGAGGGACAGATGTTAGCTCAGCAGCAAGCAGAAGAAGCATCCCAGGAATCACAAAAGGAACTCAAAGATATCATAAAAGTTCTTGCTGACAAACTGGATGAAAAGTCCATGAAGCTGACAGAAGTTCAAAATCTGAATCTGAATCTCCAAGAAGCTTTGAAGAGAGCAGCAAATTTCTCAGGTAGACTAGAAGCTTCTGTGCAATGCTAACTCTTTTTCTTTCGCAAATGTTTTTAGGCTCAGGATTGGCATATGGATATAAGTTCCAGTCCTCATTCAAGTTTTTTATTACCTACTTTGCCCCACCTTATCCCAATCTTTAACTATTTTATTTGATTAAATTTTACTTCCCTCAAGATCCTCTTCTTTTCCAAATTCAAGTTTTGAAAAAAAAATTTTTTTATGGAAGACCATTTTTATTGTCACCCTGACCATGGGTATCTATTTCTTTCCATTATAATGTATTTCAATTCCTGTAAAGCCTAACCTTAATTCCTAGGACTCACTGTATCTACCTCCATTCTTTGTTTTATTCTATGGTACTGTTTTTTAAAGTGTGCCCCTCTGTCAATTGAAGTCCATGGATGGAGGTTGGATGGAGGGTTAATGGATGGAGGTTGGATGGCCGGTTAGTCATGTAATTCAGATTAGGCAGTGTGATGGGTTCACAAAGTCACTTTATATGAGAAGAGTTCAGTTGTTCAGAATTGCCCGAGTGGACTCATAGTCTAGAAGATAGATAGAAATTGTAAGGAATGATAATGTTAAAGGATATGATCATGTTAAATCTGACATTTTTATAGAACCTTTGAGTCTTTCTACAGTAGGTAATTTTAGTCCTACAGAGAACCAAAGTGTAAGGGGAAACTATATCCTGACTAACACTTTAAGAATTATATTGCTTCCTTGAAAGTACATGAGTAAATGCCCGATTATTAACATTATCAACCCAACATCAGCAAGGAGAGAATTCTTCAGTTTCTGTCTTGCACAACTCAATATTTCATAGATGCCCATTCATTCATTTTATGGGTGAAAGGAGATACAGATAAATTTAATAACAATAATTAGTTTTGTATGAAGTTTGATAGATTATACATTTCTCCAATGTTTACAAATTCATTAATATCTTCAAAATAACTAAGGCTTTCCAGAAAAAATGATATTTATCATTTACTTAATCTCACTAAGATGAGATTTAGAAAGGAAATCAAAGGATATAGCATTTCCAAGAAAGCTTCAACAAAGGAGGCCTACATACTTAAGGATAACACCACGAACCAAAAAACTCACTGCCATGAGCTGACTGACTCATAGCGACCCTGCAGGAGAGGGGAGATCTGCCCTAGTGCAGCGGGTCTCAATCTGTGGGTCATGACCCCTTTGGGGGGCTAACAACCCTTTCACAGGGGCCGTGGAAGGCCATTGGAAAACACAAATATTTCACAATACATAATTACATATTGCTTTGTGGTTACTCACTATGCTTTAATTATGTTCAATTTGTAACAATGAAAATACATCCTGCCTATCAGATATTTACATGACAATTTATAATTAGCAAAATGACAGTTATGAAGTAGCAACAAAAATAATGTTATGGTTGGGGGGGTCACCACCACAGGAGGAACTGTATGAAAGGGTCGCGGCATAAGGAAGGTTGAGAACCACTGCCCTAGACGTTTCTGAGTCTGTAAATGTGTATAGTAGTAGAGAGCCCTGTTTTACTCCCATTCCCACCGAGATTGGTGGCTTGGAATTGCTGAGCTTGCCACCAAGGCTCCCTCATACTGGGGGACAGGATGGCTTATACAGGAGACATAGCTACATAGCAGCCAGGGTTTTGTTCTGCAGGCAGGTTTTCCTCCCTTGGTCAGTTGTATCAGATTAAATCTCTGTCACAATGGTTTTACACTCTTTTCTAGGCACGCCAAGTGTGAGCAGCATTTCGTCTATTGTCGAAAGATGTGTCAAATATTGTAGTCTCTTCCCTGACCAAACGCACTTCCACCATGCTGACTCAGAGCGGCCCTTTAGAGGATTTCTGAGGCTGTAGGTAGATTTTTATGGGAGCAGATAATGTCGTACCTTTTCCCCTTGGTCACTACCTGACAAGGTGAGAGAACGGTCAATTGCATCAAGCAGATTTGAGAGGTCTCAGATAATGATACTTACAAAAATATCATCTGCAAAAAATAGGCCACTTGCGAGACAGGGAGGGTAGAGGGAGAGTGAGTAGGAAAGAGGGAACCGATTGCAGGGAACTATATGTGACCTCCTCCCTGGGGGACGGACAACAGAAAAGTGGGTGAAGGGAGACGTCGGACAGGGCAAGATATGACAAAATAACAATTTATAAAATATCAAGGGCTCATTAGGGAGGGGAGAGCGGGGAGGGAGGGGAAAAATGAGGACCTAATGCCGGGGGTTTAAGTGGAGAGAAAATGTTTTGAGAATGATTAGGGCAATGAATGTACAAATGCGCTTTACACAGTTGATGTGTGTATGGATTGTGATAAGAGTTGTATGAGCCCCTAATAAAATGATTTTTAGAAAATGAAAAAAAAAAATAGGCCACTTTTCTCAAGTTTGAATCTTTTTTACTAACAAGTCTGCAGTCCAAATAAGGAGGGAGAGACTCTGAGATGTTAGCTCCCCGTCCCGCCCCCTGCAGGTTATTTGAGGTCGTGCAGCTACTAACACAGAAAGGTTCAGAGCAACCGATTTTACAGTCAGTACCAGGCTTAGTGGTGATTCTCAACCATTCGTGTACAAAAACATCATCCAAGTAGCTTGTTAAATATAATATATTCCAGGTTTTCCCATGATTCTGCATCAAAAAGGCCTTAAGGGGCACCAAGAGATCTTCCCTCAGGGGGTTCACACTCAGCAGTTTGAGAGGGAGTACAGGGCAGAGAGTGAACATGGTTACATGCCCATTTCCCATGGAAAAGGAGAGTAAAAGAAAATAGAATCTGTCCCCGAGAATTGTTAGGAGGCTTATATAACATCACACACAGTGAGCACTCACGACAGTTTCTGGCACACAGTGAGTTGGTGTTTGTTAAAGACAAACAGCTATTGATCAAATATGGGTAAACTTCACATTTTGAGAGGTGCCTTTCTTGTCTTGTCATCACTTGGAAACTCTGACCCGACTGTTCCTTTAGGCCCTGAAACATATATGTGTTTTTCATTTATATAATATGATGGGGGCCCTGGAAAAGTAAAGTCTATGATGTTTTTATTCTCTGCTTTTACCTAGAATTATATACATATAGTCTTTCTCATTACCTAGTGTTTTCCTCTCTGATAAAACTTACTTTTATAAAAATGTCTAGTGGTTTTATGCAGCAATGAAAATTGAAATGAAAATCTTGCCATTCTCATGCATTTTCTTCTCTTTTAATTTTCTAATCTTTAGTCACAAGGTAGACTAAAGGGTTTTGTTTCCTATTAAAAGAGTTTGCAAATGTTGCAAACACCCAGGAGTGATGATAATGGTGATGGTGGTGATGATGATAATAGTGTTGATAATGATTAGAATTGGTTGAGGTCTTGTAAATATATAGACATTGGTATGGTTTTATTATTGCTTAAATCCTGAGTTAGATTTATTGGTCAGTCTTAGAATCTTGTTGCTGAAAAATTTCTAACTATTTTTCTGATCTTTACTTTGTGTCCATTCTCCCTAGAATAAAAATGCCAAAATCAATATCATGAGGCATATGCATAATAGTTGAATTTATAGTAACCATATTAAAAAAGAAAGAGAAACATGTAAAACAATTTAAAGAATACATTTGTCTCAATATATTCAAAATGCTGCATTAACTTTGTAATCGGTATAAGATTTTTACATTCCTTCTTTTATTCTAAATTTTCAAAGTCCTGTGACTATTTAATATGTACATAGCTTTTTAAAAAAAAATGTACATCGCATCTCAGTGTAGACTAGACTCTTTCACCTGGTCAAGAGGCACAGTTAGCTTTGATGATTGCCATTGACTTAATTCCAATACACGGTGCCTATGCATGTAGAATAGAACTGTTCCACAGGGGTTTGAAGGCCCTGCCTCTTGAAAGCAAGGAGCCTTTGGGTAGATTTGTTCAGTTAGTACTTTACCACTTGTACCACCCAAGGAACCCTCACCTGTAACTACCATATTGGACAACACAAGACTAGAAGCAGAACAATCACTATTAAAACTAATATACATGATTAAAGGCCTTGAAATCTTAATATACATAAACATAACTTTTTAACGTCAGGGTATTTATTAAATATTCATTCCCAAGCTCTCACATGACTCCAGGTATAATATTTGAAAAAAATTCAGATTCAAAATGATCTCTCATGCAAGTCCTACTTTTTAACAGGGGAAGCAAAAATGACAAATGAGAAGTAAATGCAGTTTACTAAAATCAGATTGCTTTTCTTTTCTTCAACAACAACAAAAAAGGAGAAATAAAGACTATGAAGCTACTTAAATATTTACTAGGTGTCTGGGTATAATAATCAAGAAGAGATTGCTGTATATGCAAGAACATCATTGATTGAGAATGGACTACAGACTTTCTTTTACTCAAGCATAGCTCACTAACTGGGTACATCATATTTTCTAGGTCCTTGTCCAGAATACTGGCTCTGGCATGGAGAAAATTGCTACTTATTGTCCTCTAGCACCTTTAACTGGGAAAAGAGCAAAGAGAATTGCTTGTCTTTGAATGCCCATTTGCTGAAAATTAATAACACAAGTGATCTGGTGAGTATTTTTGGATTTTGGTTAGGCTGAAATGTTAGTTTATAGGGAAATCAATTTGGTTTAGGCTTATGGGGTGGGTGAGCTCTCATTTGAGTGCCAGAATTCTAGCCTAGCCTGGCACTAGTGATGTTCATGACCCTGGGTGGACAGATTATATATTATCTTTGGACCTCAGCAAACATTCTGTAAAGGCGTTGAGATGACAAAATTCCTTTAGGGAATCTAGTGTTAACCAATCTGAAGTCACTATGTATAGTGGCTCTGCCATCAATTCGGAAACCTTCCTTTTTACAGGAATTTATCCAGAAAGCCAGCGCTCATTCCAGTTTCCCATTCTGGATGGGGTTGTCTCACAAGAAACCCAGCAACTCGTGGTCATGGGAGGATGGCTCCCCTTGGATGCCTGGTGTGTAAGTGTCCGGTTCTTTGCTAATTCTACCAATGAAGTTTGGCTGTGTTCTTCACAGAGGCTTCTTGTCACCAAATGGAAACCTGGAGAATTTCTGAAAAGTCTACTTCCTACCTCTTTCACCTAAGAATGTACCCGTCTACCCACTCGGACCTTTTCTTGAGTTTCTCTGCCCATATGTATTCCTGATTTGAAGTTTTCAGACAAGTTCCTCACCTAAGGTGGAGTCAATCTAACTTTTTGTCCCCTCCTACCTGCAGGTTTAGACTCCAGGGCGCTGTGTCCAAGACGTACTCAGCAGGCACCTGTGCGTACATCCAACGGGGCATTGTTTACGCTGACAACTGCATTTTAGTTGCATTCAGTGTATGTCAGAAGAAGGCCAATCTACTGAGAGTACTTTCAACTTGAAGACGCTGAAGGGAGAGAAGGTCTTCAAATGCTATTACAGAAATGAAGCTATCCCTCATCATTTAGGTGCAAACCCTGAGCGTGCTGAGCCCAGGGTCCTGCTAGTAGCTCGTTGCAGGATTCATTAGCAGAGACTTAGGTTCCAACTGCCTGTCACTTTCATATCAAAAGTTTGTTAACTTGTTTCAAGCTACCCTGCCCGTCTGCAATCCCCCGTCTCTTTTCTGTGTTTATGTCCTTCCGTTATCCTCTGCACCCACTCTTCACTACCTCAGTGCCACCCTCCTCCCCCGCCTAGAAGTGCACGGAGGATGGCACAGTGAGAACTTGCCCAACGGCACACAGAGGGAAGGGAAAGAGGAAATATGTGTGGGCAAGAGAGTACATGAAGAAATGGAAGAGAGGAAAGGCCACACTGAAATAAAGAAACCCATGTTATTAAATTTCAAAGCCACCGCCCAGAGGTCTTTCTAGTGCAATGTAATGGCCAGATTTACTGTTTACACACATGACCATACTCACAGCACCTGCAAAGTTTAGGGGGGGGCAGGCAATTAGACAAGTAAACCTAGCATTTTTGGTTGTATTTTTAGGACACAACTAGATAAATGAGTCGACAGCCCACTATCATTTCCTGAATCAGTTATTCGTTCTTAATTTTTTCCTCTACCAAATAAAATCAGCTTGGAGTTCGTATAACCTCTCAGAAAAGCATTTGCATTATCTTTCAGAATCATGATCCTGATGCAAGAATTAAAACCAAAACAACAACATATATATTTTTTTCTTTTTCCTGAAAGTACACACTCCTTGTAGCAGAGTTCTTGTCAACTCTTGTTAAGTGCTACTACAATTCACAGCAGTAGAACAAAGAATAAAGACACTCATTTCTAGGATAAACTGAGCCAGATAGGAAGATACCGCAGTACAGAAAACAATGTAATTAGAGTTCTCTCTCTTTTCCATGTTTCCACGCCCTACCCATCTCCCTTCACAGAAACGCTAAATAGAGCCTTCCCCCTTTGCTGCACATATTCTAGCAGCCATCTAGTAAAAAAAAAAATAGCACCACCCCTAGGGAGGCAAGAGATTTTTAAAAATAACATTTTCATTGATGTATGATTGACATATATAAACCCTCTTGAAATCATTACCACAATCCAGATGGTAGCACCTTCATCAGCCCCCAAAGTCTTATCATGTTCTTCCTCAACCTCTCCAGACAACCACCGAAGTGCATTCTGTTTGCATTTTGTAGAGATGAATAAAAATGGAATAATACAATAAGTACATTTTGGTGTTCACTTTCTTTCACTTGGTGTAATATTTTGAGAGTCATTCATTTTCATGCTTATGCCAATTTTTCTTTCTTTCTTTCAATGCCGAGTATTTTTTTTCCTTCTATGGATATACCAAAATTTGCTTCCACTTGCTGATAGCAGTTGATTGTTTTCCGTTTGTGTCTATCACACAACTGCTATGAACATTTGTGTACAAGGCTACATGGACACATGGTTTCTTTTCTCTTGGGTAAATGCCTAGGAATATACACGGGGGATTCAATAAATTTATAAATGAAAAACCCATGATCCATCTATTTCATTTTCCCACAAACATTTTGAAGCTACCTGGTAATGTTTACTGAGCCCTGGTAGCACAGATGGTTGGTAATTCAAAACCACCTCGTCCGCCGCCCAGCTGCTCCAGAGGAGAAAGTCTTGGCGATCTGATTTTGTGAAGCTTACAGCCAGGACAACCTATGGGCAGTTCCGCTTCTTCACACCAGGTCACTATGAATCAGGATTTCCTGGACAGCACCTAACAGCAAGAACATCCTACCTGCCTCATATAGGTGAATCTGCCAAAGAACATTCCAAAGCTATAATATTTTACACTCTCAGAGCACTATATGAAAGTTCTATTCCAACTCAGTCTTGCTAGTGCTTACTTAATATGATCAGTCTTTGCAATTTGATCTATTTTTAAATAGTTTTTTTCTTGAAAACTATGCAAAGCAAAACATAAACCAATTCAATGTCAGTGGCATTGATTACGTTCTTCAAATTGGGCTGCCATTCTTGCTATTCTTTTTCAAATTATAATAATATAAACTTATTGCTCCCTAAGCCTTTTTTACAGCAGTTTTATTGGCACAATCCACATATCACACAGTTCAGGTCAATCATATCCAGAAGAACTGCACAATCATAATCACAATTGATTTCAGAACATCCTCTTTCTTTCTCCCCACCCCCTTGATCAAATCCCCTCCAAAATGAGCTGTGCAACCACCCTCAGCTGCAGTGCTCACCACCCCCATTCACCCTCCGCTCCCGAAATCCCCTCCTGCTACACATCCCCTAAGCTTTTCATTCAACCTATCAAGTTGCAATTTGATCTAGTCTGGGTCGACTAGAGAAACAAATTCATATGCACTCATATGTGCATAAGAAAGAGCTTGATATACAAGAGCAATCGTACATTAAGAAAGCATGCCAGTTCCATGATGCTCACCTTCCCGACACAATTGCTGAAGACAAATCGGGTGCATAAGCAAATGGGAATATGGCTGATGGTGCCCAGCTATCAAAAAATATAGTGTCTGGGGTCTTAAAGGTTTGAAGGTAAACAAGTAGCCATCTAGCTGAGAAGCAACAAAGCCCACATGGAAGATGCATACCAGCCTGTGTGATCATGAGGTGTCAAACAGATCAGGTGTCAGGCATCAAATAACAAAAAATCATATCATTGTGAATGAGGGGGAGTGTGGAGTGGACCAAAGCTCATATTTGACATCCCCTTACAGAAGAGCTGCGGGGAGGAGACGAGTCAGGGTGCAATGCAGCAATGATGGAACATACAACTTTCCTATAGTTCCTAAATGCTTCCTCCCTGCCTACCCCAACTATCATGATCCCAATTCTACCTTAAAAATCTGGCTAGACCAGAGGATGTACACTGGTACAGATAGTAGCTGGAAACACAGGGAATCCAGGGCGGATGATCCCTTCAGGACCAGTGGTGAGAGTGGCGATACCAGGAGGATGGAGGGAGGGTGGAGTGGAAAGGGGGAATTGATTACAAGGATCTTCATATAACGTCCTCCCTGGGGGACTGACAACAGAAAAGTGGGTGAAGGGAGACGTCAGACAGTGTTAGATATGACAAAATAATAATTTATAAATTATCAAGGGTTTGTGAGGGAGGGGGACAGAGGGTAAAAATGAGGAGCTGTTGCCAGGGGCTTAGGTGGAGAGCAAATGTTTTGAGAATGATGAAGGCAATGAATGTACAAATGTGTTTTACACAATTGATGTATGTATGGGTCATGATAAGAGTTGTATGTGCCCCTAATAATATGATTAAAAAAAATAAAGAAGAGCCTAGAGAAATCAGCCTGGTCATCTGTTTCTCTAATATCATCAGCAGTACAGCTCCACTCTTCATATATATCATAAATAATGTGACCCAGCGACCATGAATTAAATAAAACTATACTACGTTAAAAAAAAAAAAGAAGCATGCTAGCCCAGTCCAGTCCAGTCCAAGTCCATAGCAATGACACTGAATGCAGGAAGATGACAGGCCAGTAGGTGGAAAGTCTTGTGGAGCCAGTGGTGGTAGAGACAGCTCAGTGCTGACAGGAATCTCCACATGGTTCCTTCAGCTCTGAGGCTCTGACTGCCTGTCTCCATGTGGCTTGTCAACAAGAAAGTCTCGAAGGGAGTGAGCATGTGCCCCGCCTCTGGTGAACTATTTATCTCCTTAGCACCTCCAAATGAGGTCATCAAGCTACGACCTCATTGATAGGCTAGACTCAACCCCTTCACTCCTAATACTCTCAAATGGACAACAGATGATGTAACTACCATGGCTAGCTCTTTACAAGACAACAATTCTCAAGGCAGACATTCTTTACTAAACAAACTAAACTACAGTTTAAAGAAAACTCCCGGGGTTAATTTTAGTTTAAGGTTTAAAGGTTATCTCAGGAAAATTATTTTTGGGGCATCTAAAGTCAATGGCTTCAGGAAGATTCTATTCCATGGTCATCTGAAATTCTGTTCTTCTTTGTAACTTTGATCAAGAATTTTCTATAGGGTTTGCAATCAAAACATTTAGTAAAGGTAGCCTGACATGATCCAGTTCTTATGGTTTCATTGTAAAGAAGACAGTTATTCATGGCGACAATTAGATACACATTCGATTTTTCATCTGATTTTTGACTCTTCCCTCCTGCTCTAAGCAAACATGGTTCAACTATTGTACCTTGAAGGGCCACTTGCAATCTTTTAAGACCCCCAGTGAGCTGGAAAGTACAACAGAAACACTAAAAACAATATTACAACAATTAACTGGATATCCCATGACATCATGACCCTAAATCTCTAAACCAAGAAAACAAATCCCATGAGGTGTTTGGTGGTATTTTGGCAGCATCTCTTGTTCTCTATCTCTCTCTCTGTAAACATATGAGACAGCATTTTCCTAGCGAACCTTCTCCAGGATTATAACTTAATGATATACATTCTATTAATTATACCATGTAGTCATCACCTTTAATTAAATCCAAATTTCCTGTCACTATACCTCGAAACTACTGCTTCCCCCAAAATGGCCCTCCCTATTCCTTTCCCTCTCACCACTACTAATAAATTTTAGTCTCTATAATGTGCCTATTCTTGTCATTTCATGGACGTGAGTTCATACGTTGTCTTGTTTTTTTTGGTGGTTGACTTATTTCACTCAACATAATAATTTCAAGGTTGATCGATGTTTGTAGAATACACTTCGCGCTTCGACGTCCGCGGCTTCGCTCTATCGCGGTTTTTGTGTAACAGCGCATGCTCTGTCATTACTGCCACTGATTGGCTCATACTGTACACGCTTGATGCCATAAATAATATAATAAATAATAAATGATAATTGTAACGTCCAAAATGTTTTACTGTATATTCCCTTTTTCGTTTAATAAATTGGGTAATACGAGTGTAATGGTGACTAAAGGGTTTTTTTTCATGTCCTCTATGCTCTAACTACGAAAATATTTGATTTACAAATAAGGAATCCTACTTCGCGGAATTTCATTTATCACGGTAGGGTCTAGAACCGATTAACCGCGATAAACGAGGGTTCACTGTATATCAGGACTTCATTTCTCTTTAAGGTTGAGTAGTATTCCATCCTATGCATGCCACTTTTTATTTATTCATCCATTCATTGAAGGACATTGAAGTTGTTAATGCTTTTTAGGGGAACCGATTACAAGGATCTGCATGTGACCTCCTCCCTGGGGGATAGACAACAGAAAAGTGGGTGAAGGGAGACGTCGGACAGGGCAAGATATGACAAAATAATAGTTTATAAATTATCAAGGGTTCATGAGGGAGTGGGGAGCAGGGAGGGAGGGGAAAATGAGGAGCTGATGCCAGGGGCTTAAGTGGAGAGCAAATGTTTTGAGAATGACGAGGGCAGTGAATGTACAAATGTGCTTTACACAATTGATGTATATATGGGTCGTGAGAAGAGCTGTATGAGCCCCTAATAAAATTATTTTAAAAAATGGACTGTCTTCATTCTTTGAAGAGTGTTCTCAGAGAAACAGAAATGAATGTTGATGAAATTCACTCTGAAACAGTTGTTGGTGGTTTTTATAAGAACGGTGCTGAACCTAACAAGGGGAAACGACAGTCTTCCTTTGCTGGCTTTTCTTTTCTTTGTCTGGTTTGCAGCTGTAGGTTTCACACCAAAATCTATGTTTTATTTTTTTGCTATATATATAGTATGAGTTTTTGATATAAATTATTGTTAATATTTCTACATACTTAATTATTTCAGCACTATTTGTTAGTAAGACTATTCTTCTACCTTCCCTGTAGTATCTATAGAACTGTATCAATAATTGTTCATAGACAAGGGGGATTCGAAAGGTTCATTGAAAAATTTCCTTACCTTTTCATTCCATTTTTCTATAGGCTATTTGAAACCCCTTTTAGGGTTTGAGTTTATTTCTGAACTCTGCACTGTTCCATTGAGTTATTTGACTATTTTGAATAATGAGGTTTTAAGATAAATATTGAAATCAGATAGTGGTAGCTCTTTAGCTTTTCCCCTTAGTTTTCAATGCTGTTTTGCTTTTTTAATGCCTTTGCATTTCCATATTAATTTTTAAATTCGTTTGTCAGTTTCTAAAGTAATCTGTTGGGATTTTTATTTTGATTACATATTAAAAATAGTGATCTGTTCAACCCATTAGTGAAGTATATTTCTCTAGTTATGTAAGTATTCTT